GTTACTACTCTACTACAACCACCCAAACTCCCCGGATCTAAACGCCTGGGGCCTCCGGCCTCGGCGGATTTATCGGGCGCTTTCAAGTACGATACAGAAGGACTGCCGCAACTGTGCCCCGCCCCAACGCCTATCCCCACAATGTGCGTGGCTTCACGGCTCCGATGTGTCCTCTGCGGGATCCATCATGTTTCTCTTTTGGTTATCGAAGCCAGGAAAAACCTTCACTTGAACTTATGAGCACGAGGGAAGAAACCCAGGGACTGTTGTGGATAGCGCAGCCCTGTAGGTCGCGAGGTTCCACTGGCTTCTGAGAGCCCCTGTCGCGTTCTTTAGCCTCCATGTTTGCACGCCCTTTCCATGTATCAGGCGAGAAGTGGGCATCCGATGCCCTGCCCCGCTCCCGCTTGACACATCGTTGGGTGTGCCGTGACCGTGGCGGATGAATGCGGATGATTCCAGTCCACATCGGGCGCACCATTTGTGGTGGTTTGGCCTAGCCGATGCGCGCTGCACCTATGCTCACTCTCCGGCTGGAGCTGGCTGCGGGACTGATACGGGGGAATGGTGCCAAAGCTGATACCAGTTGTGTCGTTCGACTTTCCTCTTCCTCAGGGCCTCTCACGTCCATTGACGATAGAGTAGAGTGGAGCTCATGTTTTTGCTCAAGTCCCAGTGCGAGCTGAGCTAATTCAACAATACTGGAACAACGCTTCAACGTGGAGGAAGTTTCTGAAAGTGGCAGCATCCATGACTCCGCTCGACAGAGGGATCAGGGACCTGACTTCCGGCAATCGTGCAAAATCACAGTTCAGCAGACTTTCAAGTTTGGATCTCGACATGTGCCTGTCAGCAAGGTGTGCGGGCTTTGGCATTTCAAGGAGTTGGGCATGCTTTGTCCACAGATATGGTTGACGAGGCCTGATTCCTTTGCGCACCATTTGTCCCTAAACCCCAGCCCAAATCCCATTGATTGGACATCCAGGCGAAATTATGGCTCCAGAAGCAGCTGCCTGCTCTGGACACGTGAAGAAAGGAATGCACATGTCCTTGATTGTGAGAGTGGAGAGATTTCATTCACAAAATCAGAAACGAGGAGCTAACACCAATATGGAAGCCACAAGTGATAACAAGAGAAACAGGTCGATTCAGAATCTGTGCACATATTACGAACAGCGATCCCCAGGCTCCAGCCCTAACTTGAATATTACTTTCCAGCCCTAACCTGAATATTACTTTTTAGAATTTACGATGCTATATTGACATACCTTTCCAACGGACATTGGGCTAATCCAGAAAATATATCGATAGAATAATCAACCAAGCTTTATTATTGATCTTCTCATGATCTATTGGTCTATCATATTATTCAGAATATTCAAGTTACTATTATTTTTAATTGTGAAGATCTAGAATTTTTTAATGAAAATAGAAAAGATATTTTGTTTATTAAGGTTTGTGATTACTAGAAATAATTGAAAAATTTATTGAATTATAAAAGAATATTCTATATAATATGAATAGAAATATATTAGAAAGATTATAATGAATTTTTTGGATTATATTATATAGAAATGATAAATTCACGCTTATTAAAATAATTATAAGTATTTTTATATAATTATTTTGATATTTCGTATTTTGTTTATTGATGAATTTTCTTTTATTATTACAAGAATAATATAGATTTCTTTGGAAGGATTAGTAGAGATATTATATGCTTATAATATTATATTTTCGTAAGTGTGGTTTATCCAAACTCGGAAAAATATGATTATTTACGTTAGGACGGGCCGTAATTTTCGAGCCTCGTCTAGAAGAAATTGTTCTATTACGCGCGTCGCTGCGACCCACAACTTAAGTAGATTTTCGCGACAAGCCAGCGAAGACGCTTTATTCCGTAGCGAGAGCATACGAAACGGCCAAAATAACAAGAGAGCTACACGGTATATAGAAATCGCTTCATTTCATATATCATATTATTACGAGAATATTATGAAGAAATGAAAGTATCGAGAAGATTATAAGATACATAACGAAATTCACAATAAAATTTTGAAAGTCCCATTTTATCTTCATATATCTTCTATGTCCCGCCCATAATAAGATCTTTATCTCAGTATAAAGACCCATTAAATGATTTATAAATCATATATATATTACGATATCATGATATATTTCAATATGATGCTCTATATCAAGAAAATATGTCTTATATTTCAAATATAAATGATATTATAAATGCAATATTAATAGATACCAGATTATTAAATAAGACGAGAATACATAATACGATATTATATAACAGATAATAATATAATGGTAAATGAGAAAATAATATAATATAATATAATTCATTAATAATTTTTTATAATAATTAAATAATAAGAATCGATGCACGAGAATAAATATTATAATAAATGACTTTATAGTCTTCTTCAAAATATTGGATATAAGTTCTCTATAATTAAAAATTTTCTATATAAATGAAAAAAAATTATTTTTCTTATTTATTTGGATTTGTGGGATTTGACGTGGTCGGATATAAGGTTTAGGGTAAACCTTAAAAACTAAACGTTTAAAATCTAAAATGTTAATTCCTAAATTCCCGACTCGGGACTCTAAACTCATCTTTATTTTATTTTAACTCTATTCTCTCACAATTTTTCTGTGAAGATTTTTTTATTACCATAAATTTTCTATTTATAGAAATATAGAAAAATTTATATTTTTTTAAATTTAGGAATAGATTTCTTTTAATATTATTGAAAGACTTTTTTGAAAAATCTTATATTTTATCGTATTGAAAAATGTTTATTAATACGATTTTTTAAATTTTTTTAAAAAAATACAATTTTTGCCTAATTGCCCAAAAATTAAAAAATTATATTTTACCTCCCAAAAATTTTTCTTTCCAAAAAAAAAATAATTTAATTATATACCAAAAAAAAGAGAAATATATTTTTTTCAATACAATATAATTTTTCTGTCATATAATCTTATTTATTCATTAGGTTATTAAATTCTAATATTCATTTTCTTTTTTTCAAAAAAAAA